AAGCTCCAGTGGTTAGGGTATTAGCCCAGAAAATGGAAGTCCCAAGTTTAAAATCTCTACTACACCTGAGACTTCTGAGGGATCTTGAGCACCTTGCTTAATCTCTGTCCCATAAAAAGTTGGGATAACTGTTGCAGCTGCATCACTAGTAGCAATGAATGGGACATCTAGCATAGACAGAATTCTTGAATGCTATTTGTATTATATTACGCCATCCTCTAACAGCTCAGAGCTGCAATGGTGATAGCACCTGTGGGAAAACTTGTGGGTGGGATGGAGGACTAAAGCACAGATAAGACTCTGGAGACTTCCCATGCACCATATGTGTTTTTAACTGTTTTAAAGTAGAGCATGCCACATTTGCTCCATACTGCTACTTGTGGACAGCATTTTAAGTGCTGCAGAAAGAATACTTTAAAAATTATATCTTGAACTGAACTCTAATTAGAACATAATGTACCTTTGAAAACCAGGAAGCAAAATGTTGGCACTGTATTGTGTTGCTACCATTTGAGATAGATACTAGATGTTAATTTGGGAGTGTGAAGCTTTTACAGCATTATTTTGCAATTTGTTTAAATGAAAAACACCAACAATTTCTGGATTCTTTTTATATCAACTTACTTTACAAAGTAGTCATCTCCATTTGCTATAACCTCTAAATGAACTAGCAATGTTTGTTTATTTGTTTGATATTCATTATAACAGGATTTCAACTGGAGACTGAAAAGAAAATCTGTCTCTTACCAAGATTTGATATGCCAAGACTGACTTTTAAAAAACTAAATGCTACAGGATTAGTTTGTTCATATACGTGGTGGTTAGGTTGTATGCATTTTACATTAGAGTTAAAATACATGTTCTGTGCAGATTGTATTTTTGTACAAAAATTCTGTTAGTGCGCGCGTGTGTGTATGTGTGTTTTCACAGTATGTCTATATGCCTATTATATATGCACATGTACATGAATATATGTGTAAATGAATAATATTCTTCATGGTGAAAGGAGTGTTTGCATTTGGACTAAAATCACAAATAAATCACAGTTTTATACTTTTGCTGAATTGACACTGACTTCTACTTGTCTTCAGTATTTCAAAATATAAACCAGTTTCTTCTCATAACTGGTTTTATAGCTGGTCATTTGGGTAGTCAAGGCCTGTGCTGAAAACTATATTTACAGGTTTGAAATTTGTTTATTTTTATCAGCAAGGGCAAAAAAGTATGTTCAAGATCTGCTAAGAGGGGAAGTCTATGGGAACTGAATTTTGAAACTGTTTTCAAATATATTATTTTTCTTCCACATAAAATTGTGTAACCTCGGATCTTCCCTTATTTTTCCTACATATTTCTGCCACAAATTTAGAATGAATGATGTGGTAAATGTGCATTTACCCATTTATTATGGGGCTAATTCTCTGGTCAGTGGGTTGAATTCTGGTCAGGTGCATTAATGTCAATGAGCATAGCTCAGTCTCAGGACAATTGCTCTAGATTCACACTGATATAAATGAGAACAGTATCTGGCTTAATAAATATACAGTTTCAGTCAACAAAAGGATTAGCTGTAAAAAAAATCCCTTTGATTTCATTGTTGCAGTTAACCATTTAATTTGATGGTGTCTGAATGTTAACACATTGAGTTGTATGGGGCTTCCAGTTGCTTTTTTTTCTCAGGGATTTCTATGTGAAAATTGATGGTTATAGTCTATTCCCCTTGGGTATTTCAGTTTACTTGTAAGAAATATTTCCTCTTTTATAATCTGTTCTTGTTCACACAAGGTAAATAACAACTACTCAGCAGGATGAGACAAAAGAGACTCTGTACTGTCTTACAGAATAAAATAAAGTTTTAAGAAACATTATCAAGAGCCAGGAGAGAAGGAAAAATCAAATTAGCATAACATTATTTCAACTTTTGTGTATAGTACATAAAGATTCCATGTGTTAGAAGCAGAGTAATCTGGATGTATTAATATCTTTCTTGTCCATATGACCATAAAGAGGAGGAAAAAGAGCAGGAAAGCTTCAAGGTATTTTACTGTTGTTTAATTTTTGTTGATGTAACTATGAATAAATCCACTTCTGTTTTCAGGATGTATCAGGTTCCTCAAATGCATAAAGGATTTCGTGAAACTACTGGCTTTAGCTCAACTTCTGGTAATCAGACAGACAGATCATTTGAAAGTGGAGCTGCTCCAGGAAAAAAAAAGAGGCTTTTTTTTTTTTTTAGAAAAACAGTAATTTCACTTTCTGTCTATTTCTCTCTCTCCTGCTTCATACACACACACCTACACATGGATACATGTGTTTTTTTCTGCTAAATTTTGAAATTATTGTACTTTAGTAATGTTCACATAATGAACTTGGCATTATATATTTTACATATGTAATATAATATGGAAAACTGTGAAAAATGTGAAACAAATGGTAATAAAAATAAGTTTTAGTTGTATTATACCAAGGGCATATATAAATCTAATTAGAATCCTATTCCTTAACATCAATTATTACTTTCCTCTTAAACAGCTTCCATCTCTAGCTAACTCAAGTTCTAGTTGCAATTTAGATATCGCTTTCAAAAACAAATAAGCAAAAAATCCCACAAACTCTGTAGGGTGAAAGTTGCCTTTTTGACTTAAAGATGTTGCAGTAAAATATTACCAGTTCCACTGGGAAACTACAGAGGACTAACTAGGTTAAGGACTTTTTACATTTCACCTTGTTATTATTACAGCTTATGACATTTTGGTATTACAGGAAAACCAACTTTACTCATGAAACATTGCAGGGAAATTACAAAATACCTGTGCATATATATTTAAAAAAAACAGTCTAAAAAAAAAAAGTACTAGCAAATTCATTGTTAAAACCTCTATCTTGTATGTGTGTGTGGGAGAGAGAGACAGAGACGGAGGGAGAGAGACAGCAGAAAAACAGAACCAGATAGCAACCTTGCCTGTACTAATCATGGTATCTGCATATGCAAAGATACTGTGTTAAAGAGTTTCTTGAATTTATTTAAGAAGTATTCAAATTCTCATCAGTGAGTATTAGTTGCTCAGTAGATGAAAGGGATGCAGTGAACTTTAAAGGCTACCTCTACCTCAGAAGTAATGAGGAGACCACTGGGAAAGTGCTGAAAGCCTGGAGGATTTGGTGGTTGCTTATCAGACAGTGTTTAATATATGATTTTTTTAATGCTGATTTTGTTTTATCTCCTCAAGAACCTAAAAAACCCCCAAACAATCCTATGTTTTAAATGTCTATTTATAACATCATTTTCTCTATCAGCCTCTCCATTTATTTAAGGATTGTTTCAGATTCTCATATAATCTTGTCATTGAGTTACAGTTACATTCCCTGTGTTTTCTTATCTTTATCTGCATCCAAGGCATAATCAGTCATCCAGTTTACATTTTCTTTATAACCTTTAGCAGGGCACAGCTATGATTTCTTGAAAAAAAAATCACACTTCTGTTATGGTATAACATGATTCTTGCAGCATGGAAGTTATGAAATTAAAAAAAAACAAAAACAAGCCAAGAATTGCAGAGACAGGGAACGACAGGAGAAGACCATTTCATTTCCTCTTGTGTCCTACTATAAGCTCATATGAAAAGTCGAGACACACATTCCTCAATAACACAACTTTGTCTCTCACCATTGACAAAATAAGATTGTGTATTCTACTCCGACAAAGGCCATGAGAGAGAACATCTCTATCACAATCGTCAGCAACACTTCTGCTTTCTAAAGTCTCCCTTTAGGGGCAGGAACTTTTTTTCCAATGCCATCCTTTAAAAAAGCAAGGTATCTATATAGATGCATATCTATATATAGTAGAAGGAGAGTGTGGGAGGGTTGGGTGTCACCGATAATGGTTCATCTGCTTGGAAGAGCGCTTCTCAAGTCAGTAGGGGTGAACTATGACACAGAGATTTGATGAGTTTCTCTCTTTCTTTACCTTCTTTTACTTTTCCCCTTATGCTTTTCTTTCTTTTTATTATCTCGTTGGATGCCCCTCGTTTCAGATTACACCCTTCCGTGAAAAAAAAGTCTAAGAGCCACCAGGTTTATGTTCTCTTTAGCTAGTCCTTTATAGTTTTTAGGGACAGGGGTCAGAAAGCTGAAGATACAGGTCATTTTAGTGTGGCGCTAGCCTATAGTGATTTTATTTTTTTTTAAACAGACAGTTGTTTTAATAAATAAAAGACGGAGAAGAAAGAAAGTTTGGATTTTGAGGTGGGGGGACAAAACATTTTCTTGCTCTTTGTAATGGACAAAGCAGAGGCAGGGAAATATTTTGAAATATTGCTGTAAGGCACGGCAGGAAACAATGAAGGTATAATGCCGAGGGGGTTGGATTGGATATTGTTTTTTTTTCCTCTTCACTGTTTGAAGCTGGTTGTCAGCACTGATGCTGCTGCCATCGCTAGAGTTTGTTTCAAAATCCGAGGTTTGGGGTGGGGAGGGGAAAACTCCTTTGTTGTCAGGAGCTTTTCGGAAGGCTTTATTAACCCGCCAGCCTCCCGGAGAACTTCTCTGAGGGGAGGAGGGCGGGGACACAAGCACACAGAAAAGAAATCTCGGGGACTGAAGAATGAGCAAAGTTAATGGCGAGGGAGGGGCCGAGCA